AATTGCCCCCCCAGATATATAGTTAAAAAAGGCACTGAATTTCTTCTGCTTTTGTGAACATTTTACTGTTTTCAGGTAAGAAAAACAAACATGTGTTTATACAGTTATATTATACGACAATGTAGATGAGTTGTGTGCTTGATTTACACAGACACAGTACAACTCAAGTTGTAAGCAGGTTGCATGAGACAGTTTTGGGATAAACTTCTGTATATAGTCAATAACTATTAAATTCGGCCTCATTTTCACCATTACTGGACATCCATGCGCAGTTTTGCTAGACCTAAATCAATCTATATGAGATTTGAAAACCGTATAGCAAGTGTAGATTATTGCTATATGACTGAATCCTTTAGAATCCTTGCAAAAATATCCCAGGATTGTTTTATTTTTTGCGAGATTTTCAACGAATTTTCAAAGTTATTTTTGGCAAGATTTTATGATTTTGAAGAGCTCGCGGATTCGGAAAGGGTTTTTGTAGATTTTCCAAACGATTTTGAGATTTTTAGTTATTTTGTGGGATTTTTAGTGATCAGTTTATTATAGGAATTTTAAATTGGGAATTCTATACTGCAATAAATTCATATTCCGGAAAATAATGTAACTATTTATTATTTGGTTTTTCAAAATTCTCTATTCTGATTGGTTGACAAGCGGTCCGTAAAAACCCATATCCGGACCGTAGTCCGTATTTTCCGTATCTGGACCGGTGTCCCGGATGTCGTTTATCTGGCGGGAAAGTTTTGCTTTGCAAACAGAAAATATTTTTGCTTTTTAATTAAATTTCCAATTGTGCTTTACAGATAAAAATTTCAAACAACCAAATTGTTTTTTATTGAGCATGCATGCCTACCGTATATTGTTACCCAGTGAAACTGGCGACAGCCGATTTAATTCGCGCGAAAAGCATATGCTCACAGACTCAGTTCAGCCATATAATAAACTGATTATTGACCTCGCTTGTTTGGTCTGTACTGTGAAATATCAGACCTCTGTTTTTTGCATGGACCTCGCTCCTTCGTCGCTCGGTCCATACTAAAAAACCTCAGTCTGATATTTCACAGTACAGACCTCACGCTCGGTCAATAACCTTTTAATATATCTACAATTTTACCGACTTGTTTTAAATGTCAGGTTTTTATATTTTGTAGTAATCGACGATGGCGCCAGTCGCTACGTTAGCAAGCTTGATTCTTCTTGCCCAAATAATGAGCATTAATGCAGTTTTCACCAGACCTGATGCGACATTTGGAAATTGGAAGGCAATGTCCACCTGGTATGTTAATAGACATTCTAACTGTTTATGTTTCTGGGCCTGTTTTTGGTTAGCCATCAATTTTTTCATCATTTTTTCTAGTCGAAAACACCTAATCGGAAATTTAGCTGGCGGTTGAGAAACACAAAAAAATATTTCAACATTGTCAATTTAGCCTAAATCAAATTGACTGAACTTCAGACATCATTTTTCCTTTGGCGTACCATCTACTCTCTTCATTTTAGCATTATTTTACAGAAAAAGCACTAAACATATTTTTCAAATTTGTTTGCCGCTTGAGAAACGTATAAAAAATTTTTAAAAATTGAATATAATCATAACTATGCAGTATGAAGTAGCAAAGTTAGTATATTAATTAGTTTTGAGCGCGTGATACGTAACATACAAAATATTTCTCTTCATAATACGTAAATTTGTGGTAATACCGACAAGTTGATTGAATTTTGGTTAAATCTGGAAGAAAATTACATGAGAAATTAGCAAAAGTTCGCCTTTCTTTGCCCGGCAGAGTGGCTGAAATGCGCGCAATTAGTCATTATGTAATTTATGTATCATATGACATAATTTGATTCGCTGGCCGATGCATGCCGAATCTCCCATGCAGCGTCTGTACAACTTTAAATATACATAGAAATACAAGGCATTTTTTAATACCATGAACTGGTGGAGCACTTTCCCCACTGGGCCCCTTCCTCTGCCCTACCACTGAGGAAAAGAAATGGCCTATTGCCCCAAAGCCAGGGCCCAATGAGCTGTATTGAGTAAATGAGTTTAACATTGAAAAGAAGTTTAAAAAACAAAATTTGTTGGTGAGTATATACTTAAACTTATGTTATGTTTGAATGTTTAGCATGCAATTTATTACAAATTTCACCATTAAAACTTTGTTTTGAGAAGTTGAGATTTTTTAAAATGCGTTCTCAGAATGCAGAAAATGCTATTTCTGAGATCCAAATTTTAAAAATTTCCTGGGGGGCATGCCCGGCCCGGCCCCCCTTGCTATCTCGTGCCTGCGGTACTCGGCTCACACCATCGGCGATCGCATACTATCCAGGGGGAGGGCAAGGAAAATGGGCCCTTTGGCAGTTTTGCCCCACCACTGAAGAATCCTTAAAAAATGCACTGTAGAAATACTATGAGATTTCATATCAGTTGTTTTCCTCTCACTTCAAATAAATTATTCTGTAGGTTATGGTATGTCTCGTATAATAAGCTATTTCAGCAGGGGTCACAAAGACCGCGCATGGGCTTTCTACTGCAGGCAAGACTCAAAAGTGACAAGCGTCTGTCATTGGTCAGGTTGGTTAAATTGGTACAACGGCGAATTACTATACCAATGCCCAACTGGGGTTCTCGCAGGTAATGTATATAAATAATCGGCCATAACAAAGTTTTGCAGCTTTTTGATCTATTGTTTCATTAATTGATCAGGATTGATACAATTTTTCTGAATAAATTAAAGGTTTATTAGCATCCATTTCCAATCAATAAATCTAATCAACATGAGCTCCAACTTTGAATTAAATTACTTTTTGATTTTCAAAAAAAATTTTGGATTAGTCTCAAATAATTAAGATTAGAATAGGGTTAGATTAAGATTAGGGTTTAGGGCAACCCCGTCAGCACGAAGGCCCTGGGGACGAGGTTGGAGTTAGTGGTTAGGCCTTTACCAACAACAGAAACAGCAGCAACAACAACAACAACAACAACAACAACAACAACAACAACAACAACAACAACAACAACAACAACAACAACAACAACAACAACAACAACAACAACAACAACAACAACAACAACAACAACAACAACAACAACAACAGCAACAAAACAACAACGGCAACAACGGCAGCAACGGCTGCAACGGCAACAACAACAACAACAACAACAACAGCAACAGCAGCAACAACAACAACGGCAGCAACGGCAACAACGGCAACAACAACAACAACAACAACAACAACAACAACAACAACAACAACAACAACAACAACAACAACAACAACAACAACAACAACAGCAATCAACAACAGCAACAGCAACCAACAACAGCAACCAACAACAACAACAACAACAGCAACCAACAACAACAACAGCAATCAACAACAACAGCAATCAACAGCAACAACAACAGCGACAACGACAACGACAACGACAACGACAACGACAACGACAACGACAACGACAACGACAACAACAACAAGTATGTCGCCTCATTGTCTTAAACCAATGTACTGTATGTCACACACGAAAGCGAGGCTCATAGCCACAGTGACGTACCATGCGGAAGTATAAATATTTTCCAGTGAATTCATTGATAAATTTCATGATTTTCAATTCATAAGGTGTATACTCGACCCATAACAATATTTACCAAGACAGAAGATTTAGATTCAGATGCTGTCGCACCAGAAGAGTGTGTCAATATAGTTGTCGTTGGACTGGTTACGTCAATAACTTTAAAGGCCATAAGAACTATGTGGTACCATATGGCTATTTTATCACTGGAGCAAAAAGTCATCACCTCAACGTCCACCAGTAAGTTCAAAATTCATAATTTCTCCAAGAAAGTTTTGCTTTCATCTTTCATTTTGTGCGGAATAAGTGTGACGCTTATTCGCGGGCGGTGTTTAAAAAAATGTATTCCATTTGATCTTACTGTGTAGTTTTGTCTAACAATTGGTTAGTTTTGAGTATTAAAGGGAAATGGCAATATAATTTTTTATTTTCTCATTTGAAAGAACTTTTGAAACTATTTAATAACTTATATTACCGACGTCACAACAGGGATTAACCATATAAAAGTATTCGTTACTGACCAAATATTGATTGGTAGATGTTTTAAACGTTTCAAGTGATCTTGATATTTCTAAGAGCATACAGAGTATAATTTTGGGTGCAAAATGATTAGTGGTTGTCTAGATAAAAATATTGCGTGTCCCTGTTGTGACGTAACATGCATATCCACAAAAATCCAAGATGGCGGACATTTCATTTCTTTCGATTAAAATATTTGTAGAAGTAAGCAAGATATGAAAAAACGGTAAAAGAGTTTTATATATAGTTTTAAATGTTCTTTCAAACGAGAAAATAGAAAAATATATTGCCAAATATAATGGAAACCTATCAACAAACCTTTATATTTCAGTGTGTGTGCTGCATAGCAGACGTCGCTCCCTCACTATATACAAGGCTGCGTTCAGACTGCACGAGTGCCTGGCACTGGTGCCCAACGTTCAAAATGGTTCACAAAACATGTTGAGCACAGTGCCGTTGTTGAGTACTACGTCTAGAAGTAGTGCCCTTTCTTGGGCACTGTGCCCAATTTCATTTGGAAGCATCATGTTCAAACGAGGCGCTAAAACAAATGACTCGGGCACCAGTACCGGGCACCCAGTCTGGACGCAGCCTAACAACTATATATAATAGAGAGTTTATAAGCTTCGCGTCATACGTCAAACGCCAAGCAAAGAAAAATTTTACGGTATCAGGCAATAAAGAGTAAGTGAACTTGCTGTTTTCAAAACTGAAATGCATAATTATTCTTTCGACGCAAGAAAGAAAATATGAAACGAAACGGTTCAACGAAAATTTTGCCAAGAAAGTTCGAACCTGCCCTTTGCCGTTCCCGGTAACCTAAAGCTTAGGAACCGGTCATTAATTACAGGGGAGAGGGGGGCTGGTGGAAAACGAGGGGGGTCAGGTATTTTCGTGCATGAAAAAAGGGGTTTTTGTGCAATATAAATACCTGACCCGCATGACCCTGTTGTACCATAAAACCTACATATAAAAATAGAGACGGCAGTAGAACTGTAGTAAACTCCAACACAACACCATTTATTAAACTGATTTCAACATAAACATGTATATTGGAACAGCCGTTGACTCAATAAATGGTAAAGAATATATAAATTACGATACATGTATATAGGGCATAGTTGCCAACTCTCACAGATCCACCATAAGCATCACAGATTTTACTGAAACCTCACAGTGAGCTCACAGCTTCCGAAAATAATCCAACTGGTTCTCAGTTAAATATGTTGGCTTTGTTGCACATTTTAACCATTAAGAGTGACTTCATTTACGTCAAATTACATAAAACCTTTTTCTTCTGAAAAATTTCACGCCATTAAACCAGAATAGATAATGAAACATCACTTCATGCAACCTCGTACCGGCATGGGTATTCAACAATATGGTTTTGTATATCTAAAGAAAAGCTACCAAAACTTGTGTGTATACGGTTTAGAAGACTCTGGAAATGCCATTTCCAACGATATCTAGAGACTCCATATTTTCAAATTATTCCGCTCGGCGCCAACTATGCTGGCGCCTTGTGGGCCCCCCAAAGCAAAATCTCACGGATGTTTTATTCCCAATGTTGGCAACTATGATAGGGTAGTATGATTAAATGTGGCTTCACTTTACAAGAACTTTAAATTACGAATGCACCTTTTGTTATTTGCATGTGGAGGGGGGGGGGGGGGGGAAGGGGGTCAAGTGTAATTGTGTTATCCTCAAGGGGGGAATTAATTTTAGCATCTAATTTTTTATTTCCACCAGCCCCCCCCCCTCCCCTGTAATTAATGACCGGTCCCTTAAACTCCCTACTGACATTGAACTTACATGGAGATGGAAAACAATTAAAAGGGATTCCATGAACACCTTTTAAAAGCCACATAGATTGCTAGTGATCTACAAAAGTATCACTATAAATACAATTTTATAACAATGTTTTTTGGTATATACGTAATTTTGATTATCATTATCGTAAATGCGAGTACCTAGAAAATACGGTACTGTACTACTGTTTGGATCTGGAAGGGTGTTACTCATAAAAGTACATATGACATCATCATATCTCTTTCGTGTTTTTTTAGGGACAGAGTATGGCGATTCTTGATATGTCGTTTTCATTGAGGGGTTCTTGAAGTCCTGAAGTCCTGCATGCAATAATTCATCTTTTTCTATGTTTTACAATACTTACTTTTCTATCGTTTATTTAAGGCTATACCGAACATTTTTAGTTTTATAAATAGTTGATTTAAAGCGAATTGCTGCATACTCATTTTTTTGTTATTAATATTAACTGTAATTTTAATGAATGTTTACGTATTTGTAATAATGATTAATGGTAATAAAACGCAATAAATTCCATTCTATCGTGTACTGTTCAATAAGATATGTATGATATATGTCATGAAACCAGGCATTAAAATGACGTGTCCTTGTACGCACTCTGTGTTTTCATAAAAGGCGAATGTGTCCTTGTAAATTGAAAAGTGTGTACTGGAAAATAATGTACATAACCGTTTAATATATTTCAATTTGAGAATTTGAAACGGTATTGTGATGAGGCTGTTTTATTGCTTTGTGATTTCAGTATACACCTTATCCTGGGTTGGCTTATAATCATGCATCGATTAAGTATGAAAATTAATTTTTGAAGTACTGTTTAAAAAACGAGCAGGAGTGTTTTATTAGGTTTAAAGCCACGAGCGCGCAGCGCGAGTGGCTTTAGACCTAATAAAACACGACGTGCGAGTTTTTTAAATGACTTCAAAAACGTTTGCATAATAAGTCAAATCTTTATATAAAAATCTTTATATAAAGATCTTTATATAAAAATCTTTATATAAAAATCTTTATATAGTTTGCATAACAATGGTCTTTTGTTCAAGTGGTCTTTAGCCAGTGGCGGCGCCAGGGGAGGGGGGGGCAAGGGGGGGGGGAAGGCAAATGCCCCCCAAAAATTATTTTTTGCCCCCCATTTTGCCCCCCCTCAAAAAAATTATTAGTCACTAAGAGCGACTAAAGGCTACACAAGCGTTCTGTCGTTATCGGAAAATGTATGGCTTATAAGTTGTTATTACTCATTAGTGAATGCGCATATACATATGAAACTGTTTTTTACAGTTTCAATATTAGTTTGTAAATCTCTGAATGGTAAAACTTGCCAATACTCCAATAATACGTTTCAAAAAAAGACAAAAAAGCTTTAGTTTTGCCGAGTTAAATTCTCAAACGTGTAAGGCAATAATAAGATGAAAGTATCACGAAATTATTTGAATAAACCACATCGCATATATGGGGGGCGAATGTCCTAAAGAGGGACGATATTCCTAGGGTATTCGCCCCTCCCCCCTGGGAGGCGATATTCCTAGGAATATCGCCACGTTTTGAGGGGGGGGGGGCGAATTTCCTGGGGGGGGGCGACCTTTTTAAAAATTCTATCTTGCCCCCCCAAAATTTGAGTTTGCCCAAGCCTGGCGCCGCCACTGTCTTTAGCTGCATATGATATAAAGACGTATGCACGTGACTAATTTCTTACTCAAGATTGGATAATTGCTTCATGAATTGTTAATGATTTTTGAAGAATAGAAACAGAGTTTAATAACTTATCAACCGCTAATAAATGGTTAGTAAAAAACCAGGCTTAACAAAAGTGCTGAAATCTGTGTTTCACATATTCAAGTTTCAAGTGATTGTTCAGCAAGGCATGTGGAGGCAAAGTTTGTCCTTGTAAAAATTCCTTATTTTAATGCCTGTGTGAAACAGGTTGTTAGTCACAATTATGGACAATACCGGCTACCAGCCAACTCGTCTTGAACATAATATAGAAACACAATAATTGGCTACGACCGGAAAAAAACAAAAAACTTTTATTAAAGATTAAATTTTCGACTACATGCGACAAATAATTACAAAGTTAAGCATCGTCAATTATATACCAACGGTATGGAATAAATTACTAAATTAATTAAACTAAAACAATAAAAACGATGACTGAATAATGTCCGTGACTAGGCTTCCAGTTATTCCGCGTAAAAATTGGTTAAAAACACACACACACTAAAATTGCGAACAATGAGGAAGTTGTGCATTTAGTCATAGCCTGTGAAAATATGATGATCTCAGCATGGAAGCCCGGCAGACTTCAAAGCTACAAAATAGAAGACGTCCTTTGTTTGATGTTGAATTGTACCCCACCGTGCACAAATTGCCCCTATTGTAATGCCACATATCGATCCATACCAGTTTGGAAGTGTCAAAAGATCGTCTACTACACATGCCCTTGTACACTTAGTTCATTATTGGCTTTCTGCCCTGGAAGCACCAAACACGATGATCAGAACTTGTTTAATCGATTTTGCAAAAGCCTTCGATCGAATTGATCACAACATTCTCATGCATAAACTATTGATCCTTGGGGTCCCTCCGGTGCTTTTAAACTGGTGCTCGAGCTTTCTCCAAGAAAGACAACAACGTGTTAAAGTGGGAACTCACAAATCAAGTTGGAAACAAATCGCAGCTGGGGTGCCTCAGGGAACCAAATTAGGCCCTTTGTTTTTTCTTATTATGGTGAACGATCTGAGATGTAATGCACCATTGTACAAATATGTTGACGACTGTGCGGTTACTGAAATCATTAAATCATTTGACTTGCAGTCATCCAGTTTACAACGTGAGATCGACTACATAAATCAATGGTCGGTTAAGAATAATATGAAATTAAATGTCACAAAAACTAAAGAATTCAATATATCTCTGTCTAGCGCCCCACATTCGTTCCCTGCTTTATCTATAGACAATCAACATCTCGAAGTTGTCCACACTGTTAAGCTTCTGGGAGTGTACTTGTCTGCTGATTTAAAGTGGACGACGCATATTGACCACATATGTTCCAAAGCCAGTAAACGTCTATTTGCAATTCGAATATTGAAACGAAACGGCGTTGAAGTGTGGGATCTTAGAAATGTATACTGTAGCTTCATACGACCTGTGCTAGAGTATGCCTGCCCCGTGTGGCATTTTTCATTGCCTGTATTTTTGTGCGACCAAATTGAACAAATTCAACGCCGGGCTCTGAAAATTATCTATCCTGATTTATCGTATAAAGACGGTTTGAACGAACTCAATCTGCCCACTCTTGTTGATCGGAGGGTTTCCTTGTGTAAACGGTTTTACGAGAACAGTTTTGGCACTTCAAGTAAAACTTCTGACCTTTTACCAAGAAAGAAATCTTATTCATATAACCTTAGAAATGCTAGAAACATTCCACTTTTTAAAACACGTACAAGTAGATTTTATGACAGTTTTTTACCAACCTGCGTACGGAAATGGGACTTGCCTTGAACTATTCCAATTTAATAACTTAACACAATAATGCATAAATTTGTATTGTACATATAGTTTTATATATTCTAATCTAACTATTTTATTTTAATATTTGTTACTTGAGTTTTTCAGTTTCTTTGTAAACTGCCATTCAAGTTTTTAATAAATTCAATTCAAATTCAAATTCAAAAATTCAACAAGCCTATGGTTCACACTACCAAATTAATTCTGTCGGCGATTTTTCTCCTTCTTGGAAATATGCAGGGAGGTCGCTATAGGGTGTGTGTGTGGGGGGGGGGGTGTAATGCACCCCCAATAATTCAAACGTTGGTCAAAGTTGGTCAAAATTGAACTGATATTTGCCCAAAGTTGGTCAAAATGGAACTGATATTTGCTTAAAATTGAAGGTAAAACTCGGAAAAATTTGGTCATGGTTTGGGATAAAAGATGGTCGAAGTTGCCCAAAGTTATGAAATGGTTCGCAATTTTAACAATTTTAAAGCTTTCGTTATGTTTGCGGTGAAAAATTGGAAGCCTTGCTTATCTTGGTAGTCGAGAAATATTGAATATGCTTATGTTAGTCCTGAAAAATTTTTTCGACCATGCTTATTTTAGTCCGGAAAATTTTTTTGACCTCCCCCGTCGACAACATTTTCGGGAAAAATTTGTATGACTTGGTCAAAATCCTAGGAAATGTTGGTCAAAACATGACGACACCCCCCCCCCACCCCACCCCCCAATGTTGATGGCTTCGCGACGTCCCTGGAAATATGATCGAATGAATGCATGACATGCAAAAGACTTAGTCTTAGAATTTAATACTTCTAAAAAGCGATTTTCATTTGCAACCAGTATTCTTTAGAAACAGAAAATCGCCAACAAAATTGCAAGTGTGAACCATGAGGATTCATTCGTGGTTCATGGTTACTTCATTATACGAACGGAAAATATATACAATGAGTTCAATCACCGGGACCGTACGTGTACAAAAAAAACATAAATTCAGACAAAGACATAATACAATGACTTCTGTTTAGTTTCCGGATCGTCATATCCTGATAGCGGACTATGATTTACTATAGGGTTCTTTGATTCAGTTGCGAAAACAGCTCACTTAAGCTGAAGGGGAGGTTTTAGTATATACAGTTATATCTGCCCACAAGGTCAAGGTGCTGACGCGACTGTCATGCGAGAAGAGCATTTGCATGCCATAAAACATTTGGTTCTGTCGACATGAGACATGTCATGACATGAATTGCTGTCGCTTCAGAGTCGCAAAAGACCTGTCGTTCTATATAACGACGCTCAAACGCCTCTGTTGTACCTAACTTAAGCTAATCAAACGTCGCTCTTTGACTTTGTGTAGGCGTGTAGCAGTGTAGCACTTAAGACTAACAATAATAACAGTCTTTATTCAATACTCAAGACACACATCTGAGTTTACATTACAAAAACTGGTATACTGCATAAAGCCTGGTTCTCTAGTTAATCACTCCGTGTATTTGCAGTTCTATTTACATCACAAGCATTCTCTATTATCTAAGGGCATACATTACTATACCAAACCAAGCGTGATTCCAAACTATAGAACAGTAGAAGAACAGACATTAGTACAAAACCGATTTCGAGATAACAGACATTACTCATACCAAACTGATTTCGAGGAAGAACAGACATTACTACCAAACTGATTTCGAGGAAGAACAGACATTACTACCAAACCGTGCGTAATCTGGAAGAGGAAAATAAGTATTTATAGTATAAATTATAAGTATTCTCTAGGACTAGTTATTCTCTATAGGACGGGTATTTTCGGTTCTGATCTAAAATGTTGTATTTCGGCTGATGAGAAAGATCGTGACTCAATCTTTGCGACCATATGAAGCCGGCCTGGCTTCACAGGGCATGTATGAAAAAAAAACAAGACCTTTGTTGGAATTTGAATGCTTATTGCAATATGCAATGGCGAAGTTATTTAAAACTTTAATGATCCCGATTTGACAATTTTTTATGCAGTCATAACTTAATATGCTCCTTCATACGATTAGAAGGTATTTCTTTCTTTCTTTATTTTATTTATTAACTTTGCCAGCATAAAATTACGATAACAGTTTAAAATTTTCACAACAAAATAGTGTGGTCGGCTCACTGCAACAGCCTATTGAGTATTGCCATTTACTGCAAGCCCAATAAAACATGCACAGACATTCAACTGTAGACAGACTACAACACATACGAACAAATTATATTAGTTTCTAATAGCAGCAGGATATCGGATATGCATGTGATAAGACTTCGTACAGACAGAGTTACATTTTGGGCATATCATTTTAAATGTTCGAGGATTATAACTAATCATGAGGATATGATTATAATTAACTTCTAATTATTAATTATGATAATATCTCATTAAGGCTCATCTAAAAAATTAAAACAGTTCGGGTCATAATTTCGTTCATCTGCGAGAGCGTTCCATATTCGACACGTTCTGACAAAAAACGACTATACTGCATGGTAGATAGTGATTTTACATTTTCGGACAAGATATTTAGCGTTATTACTGGATGATGATCGAGTCAGTTGTTGCATAACATGAATGTCAGGAAGAGCAGACATTTCTACCAAATCGTGTGTGATTTTGAAGAAGAGGATGACAGTAGGATACGGGAATTTTAAATTCTCTGCATGCAGGAGCATAAAATCTTGTATTAAACAACAATAGCTAATGATTTCTATATTTTGCCATGCCCCACAGCCACAGGACAATTTCTAGCCATTAGAGACATTTTAGCAGCGATTCGCAATGCAAGTCGACGTTTTTGGCAGCAAACAGGACGGCAACGCGACGACGGAGGCTATTCAAACCATATTCCCGATCTCGTACAAAAGAAATGCCGGAATAATTAAAAGCCCACGAGAGTTAGAGACGTTGTGTTAGGGCTTTTTACAAGCTTTTTACTGAAATTTTCACGTCTCGTGCACAACGCAAACATGAAGACGCGACAAGCTAAACTACAAATTTGTTCGAAGAAGCGTGTTCAACTCCATAAAACCTTTGTTTTAGTCTCATCAAACTGAACTCAATTCATATACATGACATGCTGAGAGGATCATAGACAACAACTCTTCTTCGCAATAATTTATTTGAAGCAGTTTGTTTTGGCTGTCGTCGTCGCGTTGCCGTCGTACATGCTTATAAAGGACCCTAATAAGTTTTATAAAAACATAATTTGCGTCATTGCGAATTGTCTCTAAACTGAACCTTCTCTTTAGGACATCCGCATTATAAGTGCTTTTCATGTTTGACGTCATTAAATGAAAGAATTATATCAGTGAAGAAAGAAGGTTTATTGAGCAATTATCGCAAACAAAGAACCATTATTAAATACACGACATCCGTTCTTTTCATGATAATTTAGTGTGCATGTGTTTTTAACCAATTTTACTTGTAATAGTCACGAAACAAATTCGACTCTGGAACGACAGAAATTCAAATGTCGCTTTTAATTCTCATGCCCCAAGGCCTACATTGCATCAGTTATTTTAATTATTATTGCATCAATGGACGATTCTAGCTAGACGAAATTCTGATCTAGACAAGAAATCTGAAAATGAGTAAAATTGCAAAGTTTGGTTGCGAATTGTTGTATAAAATGAGGAAAATATACCCCTGTGAAATATAATGAAAATATAGCCCTGTGAAATATAACAAAATTTGCTAACTTCACAAGGCTATATTTTCTTCATTTTACAACATTTAGCAAACATGCAATGATGCAATCTTTGCAATTTTACACATTCTAAGACGCTCTTTCTAGCTGTGGTGTTGGATTTCGTTCTTCATGCCTTGGTCAAAATTTAGGCTATAGCTGGAAACCCATTATATATTTCTCTTTTCATACAACCCAAAATCACATCTAATATTCAAAACGTTGCTAATATTGAATATGTATAGCTTGAATGATTACTTACACAGTCTCTTTATGTTCAAATATCATGATAATGAATTACCGACAAATTTTCAGATTCATATTTTCAAACTAATATAGCGAAGTTCACTAAGATGACACTCGAAATGCAAATGAAATCGAATCTTGAGTTAAGTACTTGCATGGTATGTTTATGTAAATACCATGCACAACTTGGTCACTAACTTATTTAGCCTAGCCTTCCAACAACTCAAATCTATAAGGTCTGGGATATGCTAACCACTGGGAAATTTGTAAAATCTGAGGTATTTACAACACAATGTTTAGCATTCTTAAAAAGACACTGAATCATTTGAAGATAAACAAGACATGACATAAGATTCACAAAGCAAATTTCAGTTACTAGTGAATATCAAACCTCCCTCCTAAATTCTATTTTTATTCCACTATGTTTTGCTTATATTTTAGAGAAAAGGGGCCTTTAACTGGGGAGGGGGGAGGGGGCAAAATGGTTGAGTGGGAGGGGCACCTTGGGGGCTGCGGGCTATTATATTTGTTGCAATTATTCTAGTGTCTCATTATTTATTTTCTATATTTTATGTTGTTGTATTTAAGGTGACTCATCGGTTTTGCATTTATTGCGCATATCTAATAACAAATTCTAGCTAATAATTAGCTAATAATTTATATGTAGTCGAACTGGAATGTAAAGTGATCAAGAAACAGTAAGGGCAAAGAGAAAAGCACTCTGTATTGATTAAGCGTGCTTCAGGGAATACACCTTCAAAAATTACAGAACTCTGGTTATAGGGCACCTGTACAACTAACACTAAACCCATACTAAACCACATCATGTTGCATGTTGCACCCACTTTTTTATTTTATACTTTTATTATTTTATACGTTTTACATGCCATATTGGAAAATAAGAGAAAAATCATTTCTACAACTTGAATAATATTTCACATTTTTCGCGCATGCTTCCCAAAATAACGGTCTGAGAAGATGGGAAAATACATCTTTGCACCACGACAATGCACGTCAATGGTTTTTGTTTCGCTAAAATAACATTTTTCTTGTACTTAATCACTAGATAGACATTTTTAGTAGGATCCTTGTTCCTGTGACTCGTAAAAGGGTCAAGATGGCGCCATATGGGGGAAAAGGAGCCGATATTGCACTAGCTTTGCACTTGTCATATTTTCGAAACGAGTTTGGGGACCCCAACTTTTTTCTGGTTTAACTATGAGCATAAACATAAACTTCACCGCTGGGAAATTTCAGCAAATTCTCTGATGAATTATACTGGTGAATCACTTTAGGTGAATTATTTTCGCAACTGAAACAAACAACCCTATTAAATCAAAATCTATCAAGATATATAATGGTCCGGAACCAAACAGAAGTCATTGTATTATGCTGATAGAACCTTCCCTCCCCTTTCAGCTTAAGTGAATTATTTTCCCAACTACAACAAACAACCCTATTACATCATACTCTATCAAGCTATGTTAGTCCGGAAACCAAACACAAGTCATTGTAGCTATTATATGCATAGATCCTTCTCTTCACTTCACTTCAGCTAAGTGAATTATTTTCGCAATTAAATCAAAGAATCCTATTAAATGCACAACTTCCCCTCATTGTTCACGATTTTAGTGCGCGTGTTTTTAACTAATTTTTACGCGGAATAAGTTATTCACCGATTGCCTAGTCACGAACCATGCTTATTTTTCACCCTGCTCGGTTTCCATTTTTCTTATCGGGGAATATATTCAATATTCCCCCCTAATCAATTTCCGTTTAATAATCCCCTCTAATATTCAACTGCAATGTCAAGTTTGCAGCACAAAAAATGAGAAAAAACCACATCACGAAGGCAATATTGCATTAAGAATTATTTCCGGCTATTCTGACTATAAGGTTACATGCAGAACGCCCTTTTTGGCGTTTTGCGGAAAATCGCTACTGCGCGCTCAATATCAGTCCGATTTTCATCCAATTTTCACCAAATGTTCTCCAGTGCATGCAAAATATGGTAAAGTTGTAAAATTAACAAACAATAAAATAATGTAAGAATTATTCAAGAAAATCTTATATCGCGGTACCGTTACGCTTTTGAGTTGTGCTCCTGCTGGTTTTAAGTTATATTTATGAAAATATCATTTTTATACAATAAAATAGTTGTTCTAAAAAATGGTGTTCGGAATTTTTTGTTTATTTCGTCATTCCGCTGATATGGCGATTTCTTTGACGACTGCAATATATTTCTGAATTGTTTGAGTGAATTGCTCTTTATTTTTAAAATATCCAAAATTTAAAAAAAGCCGAACACTATTTTGAGACTGACGTCTTTAGCTATGTCCTGTGGAAATTTGAGAAAAATTGGTTAAAACCCGCAGGAGCACAACTCGTTTGAAAATCAGTAATTACCGTAAACTTTCGGGAGAAAATTGATTTGAATATTACATTTTCAATGTTTTTCTTATTCCAGCGAAATGTATTTTATTAAATAACTCTGCGAGTTTTCAATATTTTTCGTTCAAACTTGGTCAGATAGTAGGACTAGTCTAATGCTTTCATGGAAACCAATAAAAAAAATTTAGGCAAAATTAACACTCAAAGCTGTTCTGTAACCTTAACGGGGCCTCACAATGTGAAAAATAAGTACGTTATTTTGAGGTACCTCGGGGATATGTGATTTATTCACCTCGGCGCTGCATTCGCGCCTCGGTGAATAAATCACATATGCCCTAATTGCCTCAAAATAACCTATATACTTATTATAGGGCAATACAGTAAGTTTCATAGCTAGTGTAGTTTCATGAATATTGCCAAGCGTCAAGATTTTAATTTGCACTTCTAAAAACATTCCTAATAGACTTTTTAAACAGAATATGTAGGGATTAAATTTAGCCTGACTATGTCAGATTATATATATGCATTTGATTATATATATATGTATCAGATTATATATATATATATATATATATATATATATATATATATATATATATATATATATAATTGTTGTCTTTTCTACTTAAAATTAATTAAGTCGCAACTCTGAGTTTCACGTTTTCACGATCTTCAGGCGACGATGTATGTTCAACTAACTTTTCCTGCTTGGTGACGTTGATATCCGTTGTGCTGCTTGCGTGACTGAGTTTGCGTGCGTGATTGAGCTTGCGCTTATATATGTATATATATATATATATACATATATATATATATGTATATATATATATATATATACATATATATATATATATGATACATCTATGATACAGATGATACATCTATGATACAGATGATACATCTATATCAGATTATGTATATGCCTGACTATATGTCAAATTATATATATATGCTTATTCAAAGTTATACAGGGTGTGTAAAAACAAACAACGAGTCCTTCAGAAATTAAGGTATTGTTGTCAAGCTAGCTCCTATACATGCATGGAATTTAAAATAGCTTCTAATCGCATGCATGAAGAAGCATAACCATAAGCAGGGACGCCGGAACGATCATAAGGCAAAGGGGGGCGGACCTACAGCAAGGGCAATTGGGTAAAGCCCCCCGTCGCCAAAAAAATTTCGGTCAGTGTACCATTTTAGGGGTCAAAAAATTTTTCCGGACATACCATAAGTGAAATATAACTCTAAATTGTCTGAATCTCATAATTTTCGGACGAAAACCATCGTTCTAAATGTGATTTATCACGTATTTTTTTATAACTAAAAGGGCACTTCTGCCCCCCCTGCCCCCCCCTAGCAAAAGGCAGGGGGGGCGGCTGCCCCCCTGCCACCCCCAGTTCCGGCGTCCCTGACCATAAGTTATAACTGCATAAAAAATTGTTAAATCAACTATACTGTACATGCAGTGTACCATTTTTGTTATTAAACTCAGGCGTGTGTTCTTGACTTGAGTATTGAATAAAGACTGTTATTGTTGCTATTATTAAGTGCTACACAAGCCGTTTGATTATAGCTCAAGTTATATAGGTGCACGACAAAGGCGTTTGTGTAGAGTCGTTATACTGTAGAGCGACATGAGGTCTTGTCCACTATGCGATTCTGAAGCGATAGCAATTCATGTTATCAAATGTTATCATTGTTATCGAACTTCAGCGCGCTATTATACATGAATCACTTGGCGTATGAACAATTGGTTTTCATATTCAAAAAGATCAGGCTTTTAGCTATTGAATGACAGGCTTTTCATACCAAGTGGAGAAAAAATAAGCATGTACGAGGCCGATCAAAAATGGTAGTCAAAATCGCATATTTTCACCTCTGTGCCTAATTAAAACAATGCATAACAAAAGAAAAAGCAATTAATCGCGAACGTGTCGCAGCTTAGCTAAGATTTTTCCTACTTAATAATAATTATGAATATGTGCGTCGTTTATTGAAGAATGAAGTGAAAATCCATTTGGCATAAAAGCATGTTCTTTCCGAATGTGAAAAAATCTCGTTCACACGCATATAGTAATTCAGATACAATAGCGCGTTGAAGTTCGATTACCTTTTTTTTATACACCTTGTATATGACATGTCTCATGTCGATAGAACGACATGTCTCGTGGCCAGGGCCGCCGAGAGGTTGGCGGGGGCGTTACAATTGCTTTCGAGGGACTTTATCTCATTTTTTTATACCAAAATTCCGTACTTAGCCCAAGAAAACAGATCTCTTGTCCTTTGCGCGGAAATATTTAACACGGGGGCCCCCAGCAACTCGGGGCCCGGGGCAATTTGCCCCCCCTTGCCCCCCCCCCCCTCTGCGGATCGTGGCATGCCCTTCTTTATGACAGTCGCGTCGGCGCCGTTTGCGCAGATAGAATTTTATAGAACCTATAGAATTTTATAGAACCTATATTTTATAGAACCTCCCATCTCCTTCAGCTTAATTAAGTGAGCTATTTTTGCGACTGAAACAAACATCCCTATAAATCATAGTCTATCAAGATATGATACGTCCGGAAACAAAACAGAAGTCATTGTATAAAGAAAACTTAAGTGAATTATTTTCGCAACTGAATCAAAGAACTTTATTAAATGCATAACTTCCTCAGTCATTGTTCACGATTTTAGTGCGTGTGTTTTTAAAGTAACCAATGGACCACTTGCATTATAGACTAAACTTTGATCTAAACAAGTCTAGACAAAAATTTCATAACAGCTTGAAAGAGCATCACAAAATTAGTAACATTCCAAAGTTTCGTTGTGAAATGTTGTAAAATGCGGTAATATAGCCTTGCGAAGTTTGCCGTTTTTCAGTCATTTTGTATTACAAACGGGAAATTGACAGCCCCAAAGGGTAATGGCTGTCAATTTTCCCCGCGTAATGTTGGAATATTACTATTTTTGTGATGCTCTTTCAAGCTGTGATGAAATTTTTGTCCAGACTTGTTTAGATCAAAATTTAGTCTATAATGCAAATGTCTATTTTTACCGTGATAGATTTTAACAGGACGTAACTGAATAGAATTTAACAAGATATATATATATGTAGGGATTAAATAGACTATGTCTGATGATATGCCTATCCAAGCTTATTCAAACTTTTTTTTGAGAAAGAGAAACGTTTATTAAAACAATTACAATGCATGTATATTATTTAACTTATTCTAAGTTAAATAATCTGGACTACCTCGCACACATAGCAGTTATAGTGTGCTAAATTTTTCTCCGAGGCAATCTTCTCTCTCAAAAGTGACAGGAAATGATAAGTCTCTCTCCCACACAAACCCCATATACGCGCTGAAAACTATAAATGTGTAAAAGAGCTCGACCTCGACAGTACGCTGGTTGTATTGTCTCTTCTTCTCTCTTTCGTTTTCGTTGAGAAATAATTGAAGAGACTCTGGGGCATAAGGGTTAATAATCCTTATTCCAAGTTATACAGGGTATATCCCACCGGGCACACGACGTTGTTTCAACGTTGAAATTTGGTAGAAAAAAGGTTGCGACGTCGACAACCTAATATCTACGTTGCTCTGACGTTGTTTTACAAACATTGGTTCAACAGCAGCCAACAGACGTTGAATTAACGTTCATTCATGGTTAAATGTACGACGTCGATTTGTGAACCAATCTCAACGTTGTTTTAACGTGGATTCAACGTTGAATTATGGTTGACGAGATTGGCAACCTAATTTCAACGTTGTTTCAACGTCGATAAGACGTCACTATCACAAGGGAGGTGCTGGCTCAGCCCATTGGGATTCAAGGCATGTAATATGTGCAATTTGCTGAATAAGGAGCTTTTTATATGATCCCGCTTTGCCACGATGAGACGTAAGGCGGGGTTATGCACGATTCAGCAAAAAGCATTAAAAACTACATTGTTTTCTATAGTGATAGGTTATAGTGAGCTGTAAACGAAAGGTTGTTCAAGCAGCAATAAATCCAATAATAATCTTTTTGAACTACAAGATCTTCTCTACAACATTTGAGTTGTGTTAACCAGCATTTGAACCCGTTCGTTTAGCCTAGTCGGACTTATTTCAATACATCTGAAAATCATCCCACCTTCCATGATGTATAAACAACCCCTAAGACGCCTGTTCAGGAGGTAGGAAAAGTGCAATTTGAATATCACTGACATGCACCTTGCACAAAGTCGAAGGTCAGCTAAATGTCCTAATTCTACTTTCTTGGCATAAGCAGCTAGTTTTATACGAATACCTTCACTTTTATATAACATTTGAACATATAGAGACTTAATAAGTATATATAGTCATTTAAACTATACAATATTTGCAACTTTTTGACTATATTGCATGTGATTGTGCATTGTATGAAGAGGGAAAACATAATTGATGCAATAATTAAAATGTTCGGCGCATGAGAATTAAATGCGACGTTTGAATTCCTGTCGCACTAGAGTCGCATTTAGTTCGTGACTGCAAGTTAGGCTTCAGTTATTCCGCGTGGAATTAAATTGGTTACTGATAAAAACACACACTTGATTATCACGAAAAGTGAGCAGGAAGTCGGCATTTAATAATGGTTCTTTGTTTGCGAAAATTGCTCAATTAAGCTGAAAATATATACATTGATATCGGCCCATTCGATGCCAAGGTGTGGCTCTGAGCTTGCAGTGGTCGGGTATATTTAGGAGGACACAACGCTGTTTTATTCACTCCTTGCTCAGCAGTCGGCGAGTGAAGTTGGACATCTCAATTCTTCTGCTTTTGCGAACATTTTGCTATTTTCAGGTAAGAAAAACAAACATTCATACAGTTATATTATACGACAACTCGGGCGAGTTAATCGTGTGCTTGATATACAAAATACAACACAAGTTGTAAGCATGCAGGTTGCATGCAACTAAATCGACCTTTAAATTATGACCATTATATATTTTGCTGGACCTAAATTAATCTATGAGAGTTGAAATGCTTGTAATCTCCGAGATCGGGGAGTAATACAGTATAGGAAGTATATACAGGAAGATTTTTTGGATTTTAGAATCTTAGCAAAAATATCCATGAAGGATTTTGGGGGGTTTTGCCATGCAGATTTTCAGCGAATAGTAAAAGATGTTTTTGGCACGATTTTATGATTTTGAAGAGCTCGTGGATTCGGAAAGGGATCTTTGTAGATTTTCCAAAAGATTTTGAGCTATTTTGCCAACCTTTCAGCTGATTTCCATGGGGGGCGTGAAATAAAGAGGTTAAGTTGTCTCGTGGGGAAGATTATTCTAATGCATGTGAGGCTCCTTTATAATTGAAGCACATCTTGCCAAATTATTTCTTCAGAATATAGAAGAGCTAAATCAGTTTCTTTATTTCTGAGATTGTAAGCATTTGCTATCTTTCCTTATTGGAAAGAAAAAGTTCGTTTAGATTGGGTGCGGTGTGGCCATTTAAAATTTTATAAGTATAATTTCGTGTGCAGGCCATTTAAAATTTTATAAGTATAATTTAAAAGTACTGCTAGAAGTTTCCAATTTAAGTTTCTAAGCAAGTCAGCTGATCGAACAATCGAACATTCCCCCATGCATTTAGTAATTACTCTTGCAACACGATATTTTTACATTTTTTATCAACACGATATCTTGATATTTTTGGAGCCGTTTTTGACGCCAATTCCGCAATTATCCCATAGCGGGCTATACAGTAATAAAAATAGGGCTGCATGTACAATAGCTTGTATAGTATAACTATAATCTACAATTTTACGACTTGTTTTGCAGTAAACGACAATGACGCCAGTCGCTACGTTGGCAAGCTTGATCCTTCTTGCTCAAATGATGAGCATTAATGCAGCTTTAACCAAACCTGATGCGACATTTGGAAAGCAATGTCCGCCTGGTATGTTGGTAGATATTTAACTGCTTCACATATATATACCTATATATCTATGTGTCTTTGGGGCTGTTTTTGAAAATCCATGCATAGAAGCTAGGCCATAGAATGGAAATTCTATGGACCTTTATTGGAAATAGAATGGATTTTGATTATCCATAATAATTGTATATTTCCATTCTATGGATATAGTATCGAAATAGTATGGATATACTATGGATTTAGTGGTGCAATTGCAAATTTCATAGTATGGATTTCACTTTTTTTTCCAGTGGTACATTTATCTGTTAGGTATAAGGATTACCCTAAACCAAGCTATTATTCGCGCTATATATACTGAATGTATAAAGATGATACATTTAAATAATTTTAATGATTTAAAATTAATATAAATATTTCAAAATAAATTTGCATAACATGACAATGCAGTTGCTATTCAAAACACTCGAACTCGCGTTTTATCATATCTAAAACGCTCGGCTGCGCTTCGCGTTTTAAATATGATAAAACACTCCTTCTCGTGATTTTTAAAAATACATTGAAATACAACGTGATTTCACAACAGATGTTTTCCTCGATCTCACTTCAATGAATTATAAATGAATTATTCTGTAGGTTATGGGATTTCTCGTATTGTAAGCTACTACAGCAATCACCACAGAGACCGCGCATGGGCTTTCTATTGCAGACGTGACGCGAAAATCACAAACAGCTGTCATTGGACAGGTTGGTTGAATTGGTACGACCGCGAATTACTGTACCAATGCCCAACTGGAGTTCTCGCAGGTAATGTATAAAGTAGTTGTTCATAACAAAGCTTACAGCTTCTATTGTTTCATTACAGCATCTATTGTTTCATTAATTAATCAGGGTCGATACAATTTTTCTGAATAAATGAAAGGTTTGTTAACATCCATTTCCAATCAATAAATCTAATACAAAACACTAGGACTCTGAATAAAAATGTTGAATGAACAAGATTCTTCCATTCACAGTATATTTTGTCTCACTAAAGTTTATACGTTTTCTCAATTTTCATCTCTTGCGAAGTATTGTGCGCACTGATTACAAATTTCAGTATAATAAGTCATCATATTATAAAGATCACAGCAATAAAATGACGACAATAGCAACAACAGCAACAGCAACAGCAACAACAACAACAACAGCAACAGCAACATCAACAGCAACAGCAACAACAACAACAACAGCAACAACAACAACAACAGCAACAGCAACAGCAACATCAACAGCAACAGCAACAGCAACATCAACAGCAGCAGCAACATCAACAGCAACAGCAACATCAACAGCAACAGCAACAACAACAACAACAACAACAACAACAGAAACAGCAACAACACAGCAACAGCAACAGCGACATCAACATCAACATCAACAGCAACATCAACAGCAACATCAACATCAACAGCAACAGCAACAACAACAACAACAACAACAACAGCAACAGCAACAACGACAGCAACAGCAACATCAACATCAACATCAACAGCAACAGCAACAGCAACAGCAACATCAACAGCAACAGCAACAGCAACAGCAACAGCAACAACAACAACAACAGCAATAGCAATAGCAACAACAACAACAACAGCAACAACAGCAACACAACAATGGCAACCACATTACGATTACAACACACAATTACAGCACACAATGACAACACAACAATGACAGCAACAGCAACAACAACAATTACAACACAACAATGGCAACCAGGAAGTATAAATATTTTCCAGTGTTCATTGCTCGCAGTTGATAAAATTTCATGATTTTCAATTCATCAGGTGTATTCTCGACACATCATAATCATTACGAAGATAGAAGATTTAAATTCAAATGCTGCCGCACCAAAAGAGTTTGTCAATACAATTGTCGTTGGACCGGTTACGTCAATACCTTTAGAGGTCGTAAGAACTATGTGGTACCATATGGCTATTTTATCACTGGGGCAAAAAGTCATCACCTGAACAGCAAAGAGTAAGTTCAACAATCAAAATTTCAATTCCCCCAGAAGGTTTTGCTTTCATCTTGGGCCTTCATCTAGTTTGTTTGCAGTGTAATCATGAATTTTTACAATTGACTTGTCAAAATTTTGAATTGTCAAAATCTCTAAAATTTTACCAAAATTTTATTTTAAAATCTCAAAATTGACGAAATCTTACCAAAAGTAAAATATTTTACCAAATTTGGTCACACTGTCACTGACAGCACTTCCATATTTAATTTCATTTTCAATTTCCATATATGACAGCAATTTAATAACAAAAATTCCATAAATCATCCCAAATCATCCCAAAATATCACACTTCATCCCACACATGTTTCAACGTTTTGGATTTTGCGGGCTGGGGCGAATTTAAACTTGGGATAAGTTTGTTAAGAACAGATCTAGGAGGGCACAAGGCCCATATTGTGTGCAATATTATATGCAACTTTTCACTGAAAATTGGATTAATTGGACTTTTAACGCATATTTTAGTAAATATATTATATACAATATTCACTGGTTACTGAAATTTGAATACTTTTGGGTCAATAATTCATAAGGTTTTTTCGAGGGCTGTATTCATCATATCTCTTTCGTGTTTTTTAGGGACAGAATATGGCGATTCCTCATATGTCGTTTTCACTAAGAAGTTCTGAAGGCCAAGCAATTACTAATCTTTTTTGTATTTGAACGTTTATGTATTTGTAATAATGATCAATGATCTTTCATGTTTACAAGTAATAAAATAAAACGCAATAAATTCTATTCTATCGTGTACTTTATTTGTTGAGTATATATATAATTTTACTGTTCAGTTGAATATATATATATACTTATACCGGGTGTATGAAAAAACGCAACCTTGGAATTTCCTAAGAAATCCACTTTGCAATTCTTAATTAAGCATAAAAGATTTTAGGCCCCTGGGAATTGAAATCGAATTGCTAATAATCATATTACTGCTGTTGTGTGGTACTTGTAAAATAAAAACTTATAAATTTTGATTTATGCACTCGCGTGTGCAGTAATTTTGACAGTTGTGCTATTTCAAATTCCCAGGCACCTAAAATCTTTTTTCTTTAAAACAATGTCGATTTCTTGGGAAATTCCGGGGTTGCGTTTTTTTATACACCCGGCCCTGTGTACAGGGTGTCCCAAAAAACCCCCCAAAACTATTGAAATAACTTATTGTTAGAATTTGAATGCCCCAGCACTCTGCTGAATCCACAAGTGCATCAAAGCTTGACATAAGTAAATTTTATGCATAAAGAAACTGTTTAAAAAGCTGCTTTAAACTCCCAAGAGCAGAAAATCGTGCGCTTTACAAAGATATTTTAATTTCTTAATAAGTCAATATTTATAATATATGCACCCTGTTAATTCCCTGTCAATATTTTACACATCTTTGCGTTCAGCTTAGTGCTGGGGCATTCAAATTCTAACAATACGTTATTTCAATAGTTTTGGGTTTTTTGGGACATCCTGCAGTATACGCCCGCAGGATGAAAACATATTACAATGACTATATTACAATGAGTCTTCGGGTTGACCAGTGTTTAAGAGTATATAAATATATATAATATATATATATTCACTCCACCCTGATCCCATTCTCCCAAAATAATTTGGCGTGTGTTCAGTTTAAACTTCAGCTGTGTTTCACTTGATGCGGGCTTGGATCATTAACACCCTGCATATAAGTTTGAATGCACATCATCTAAATACAGTAGTGAGTAATCAGGTTATTTAACCCTGCATGATACTCGGTTAAAAATCTATCAGGATTCCAGGAATGTTTTTAGAAGTGCAAATTAAAATGTGGACGCCTGGGAATGTGTAACTACTCTGTGGATCTTTACTCTATATTGCCTTCGGCTTCTATAATATTGTTCATCACTAGGCTTCAGTTATTGATTAAAAACACTTACACGAAAATCGTGAACAATGAGGAAGTTGTGGCAATTGATACACCAGGCGGAAATCTTAGTTTAAAGATAAAGAGCAGAGCCCAGCAAATAACTTTAAATCCAAACATAATAAGATGTTGTATTGTAAACAACGAAACGTTAGCTAACAAATTTTTTACTTTTATTATGTTTGGATTTAAAGTTAGTTGCTGGGCTCTACTCTTTATCTTTAAACTAATGAGGAAGTTGTACATCTAACTAGTATAGGGTTCTTTGTTTCAGTTGCGAAAATAACTCACGCAAGCTGAAACAGAATTTCTATACATTTCTATATCGTGAGAAAAGTGGCGGCTAGCATGCCATATCTCATAAGACATGTTGTCATGTCGACATGAGAGATGACGTGTTAACATGTCATGACAAGAGCTATACATTTGAATTGCTCTCGCGCCAGAGTCGCATAGTGCGACAAAACACGTAAAAACTTCAAAAGTTGTTAACTTGTTGCATGTCTGCAAACAAGTTGTTACAAATCTGTTTACAAGCTGTCGACAAGTTGTGTTCCAACTACTTGTTCCTAAAGACGTAAAAATGAACAAGTTGTTACAAATCTGTTCACAAGCTGTCGACAAGTTGTGTTCCAACTACTTGTTCCTAAAGACGTAAAAACGAACAGGTTCTGCAAACAAGTAGTTACAAATCTGTTCACAAGCTGTCGACAAGTTGTGTTCCCACTACTTGTTCCTACAGACGTAAAAACGAACAAGTTGTTACAAGTCTGCAAACAAGTTGCTACAAATCTGTTCACAAGCTGTCGACAAGTTGTGTTCGCACTGCTTGTTCCCAAAAACACACAAGTTGTTACATGTCTGCAAACAAGTTGTTACAAATCTCAGGTTTACAAACTGTCGACAAATTGTGTTCGCACTGTTTGTTCGCAGTTGTTGCAACAAGTTTAGAACAAGCTGAATTACAACAACTTGTAACAAGCTTGATGGCATTAATCAGATTTGTTACAAGGTTGTTCTAACAAGTCTGATACGGTCATGATACAACAAGAATGTTACAAGGTTGATGACACAAGGTTGTAACAATATTGTTATATCATGAATGTATCGGACTTGTTGGAACAACCTTTTTCTATTTAATTGTTCGCACTGTAATAATATATTTACATAGAATATTTTTTTGAAGTATTTTCACAGAATCCTGAGGTAGGGAGATTCTGAAACCTTAGCAGGCTTTTTCGAGGAATGCTCACTATTACATGTTCTGAACTTAAATGTTTAAATTTTAAATGTTTCCTAAAAGAGTTAAAATTTTTAATACCCTTTGAATTCTCGTTTAAATTATTCCATAGTTTTACTGCCTAATACTTTGTTATTGAGCCTAAGAACAGCAAGAAACAAATTCGTCCAGGAAAACATGGGAATATAATCTTTATCTGCCCCTGACATACTAAAATAAGTTAACATGCAATGATGAAAACGAGGAAAAAAAGACTATTCAATTTTCCTCAGTTCCTGTTAGAAGTTCTTAACTTCCTGTTACAAGTTCCTGACTTCCTGTTCTGTTCTGTGCGTTTTAATTGGCTAACAAAAATAATCCACCAATGACAACGCTCAGAACAGAACAGAACAGGAAGTCAGGAAATTAAAATGGGAAGTTAGTAAAATTTAACCTTTTAAATTTCTCTGCATTGGAATATTGCAACAGCAGATAGGAACATTACAAATTCCCTCAAGGGATTTGCAAAGAGTTTTTCAAATTTGCAAAGACAATTAAGGAAATTCCAATTGAGTTAGAAGCTCGAAAGAGGAACAAGTATTTTACCTGTAAGGTCTCTTTATCATGCAAAGCAACTTTCACACGGTAAATTTGGCATAAATTTTTCTATGTATGATGAAATAATTTTAATGACATAATCATATACGTTAGGCGACAGTCGAAATAATTGATTCGGTGCATGAGAACGCGCTCCAGAGTCGAGTATATTTTCACGACTACAGGCTTCAATTATTCCGCGTAAATTTGGTTAAAAACACAAACTAAACTATCATGGAAAATGAGGAAGTCGTGCATTTAATAATGCTTCTTTGTTTGCGAAACGTGCTGAACTAAGCGCTGAAACAGAAGTTCTAATTAAATACATTTCTAGCTGCCCACTGAGTACCAAGGCGTGGCTATTGAGCAGTATATTGAGTATATTTAGGAGGACACAACACTGTTTTATTCACTCCTTGTTCAGCAGTCTGCGAGTGAAGTTCGACATCTCAATTCTTCTGCTTTTGTGAACATTTTATTGCTTTCAGGTAAGAAAAACAGACGTGTGTTTATACAATTATATTATACGACATTATATTATACGTGCTTGATTTATCACAGTACAACTCAAGTTGTAAGCAGGTTCGTGCGACAGTTTTAGGCAAAAATTGTGTAGTGTAACCAAATCGTCTTTTATGACCATTACTGGACATGCATTTTGCTGGACCTAAATTTATCTGTCAGATTAGAATACCGTATAGCAAGTGTAGATTATACAGTATAGGAAGATTTTTTTGTTTTTTTTGCCAGATTTTCAGCGTATTTTAAAAGATGTTTTTGGCAAGATTTTTACAGATGATTTTTAAGAATTCGAGATGTTTTTGGATTTTAAAACGTAAATTTAATTCTATATACTGCAATAAATTCATATTCTGGAAAATAATAACTAATAATTTTACGACTTGTTTTGTAGTAAACGACGATGACGCAAGTCGCTGCTTTGGCAAGCTTGATCCTTCTTGCTCAAATAATGAGCATTAATGCAGTTTTAACCAAGCCTAATGAGACATTTGGAAAACAATGTCCAGCTGGTATGTTGGCAGATATTTTAAAAAACTTACTGCATGAACTTCATGGGCATGTTTTTGTTGGCCATGTAAACGTGTTAGGTATATATAGCCTGTATATGGTTACCCTACCAAGCGGATCATGTTTTATTCGCCCTATAGCCTACTAGCTACATGTATAAAGACAATGCATTCCTAAAGGTTTAAATAATATACTAATTTAAAAATAAAATTTGTATACCATGACATGACTACGCAGTTGCTATGAATAGCTTCATCATTCATTGACATTGTCTTACAGACTATCCTAAAAGTATACTTATTTTTTTCTAGTCCGAAAAACCTTGGTCGGAATTGACATGTATCTGCATGGCGGTTGAAAAACACAAAATATTATATAATACCTTATTGAATTCTGATCGTTTAATTGGCTGTTTCTGGTCACGTGATATTGATTAGAAAATTTCATTTCTCAAGAGTGCAATGGAATACGTTCCATTGCACTCTTTGCGAGGGCAATTGTACTATAGGTTTCATTCGCCGAATTGGATGAAACATACCATCTTTCACCTCATGAAAATATTCGTACCATTGCACTCATAAACATTCATTATTTGTATATTGTAAATTTGAATACAATTATCATTGATGCTATAAAATTGACGCCATATTTTTATACAGCAATATAAGCAAAACGTACTGAACTCTACAGGGTGTATCAAAAAAAGCGCAATCCTCGACTGAAATGTAAATTGCTAAACAAATAATAGACGAAAACGTTAAAGTTTACATTCATTTTAAAGCGTAGCCATTCAGCTTTCTAACAGTGGGTTGTTTCTTAAATTTGACCCATTGGTTCGCGGGTAATAATACTTTACGTTATTGCGATTGGAGATTAAAAAAATTGAGATGGAATTAACAAATCGTTCTCATGAAAATAACTGATTTTTTCATTAAAACAAAAAAATGTTGCATTTTATTAAATGGATTGTAACAATAAGTATAATTACGGCTTTTCTTCCACTATTTTTAACTCAGTTTGAAACTTCAAATGCGATATAATTCTGGCTTGGACCATCTAAGCTGACCTAAGCTGACTGACATCAACTTGCTATAATTTCTGTTTACATTACATCGCAATTCGATGACACTCTGGCTCAGACACCAGAATGTTTTGACGATTTTTAGCATTCGTTTAGGATTTTCAAACAACCTGGTCTCTTTTAAAGTACTTTTAATTTGTTCTTACATGGTTTTCCAGATGTAGTGACGACAACATTAAAGTTTAAAGAAGAAAATTCTAACATTTAAACCGACTAAACAATAACATAGTAAACTTGCATAATTAAACAGCAACTAAAAATGATAGGTTTTACTAAATCTTTTCCTGTGCAATTATTACTAGCATTGGAGACAAGGATAATACTTTGTTTGAAAGAGAAAAGAACAGGCTTTGAAGTAAGCCTAAAAGCGTTTAACTAGAAATAGTATTTCGAAAGTTATTAAGCATAAAAGATGAATTGCGTTTATTTTGATACACCCTGTATAGGCACACGCTGAATACGCTAGAGGTACGCCAGATATACGGTACTCATACGCTGGCATTTCCAAGGATTTTTATGCGTATGAAAATTATTTCATTAATTTTCATACGCTTCTCATACGTTTCTCTCATACGCAATAGTGTGACAGGGCCTTAACGTACATTTATAATTTTTAGTGTGCGAGTTTTCTATTTTTGTGACCTTTGTTTTTACAACTACTTCATTGATTACAGCAGTGCTGGAAAATGTCCGGCAGCGACTTCCACGAAATTTTTAATGAGGTTACATATTAACCAAAGTTAACATATAGTTAGTAAACCATGCGTGACCCGAGGTGTGCCTTGTATGCGCTGCTTGCGCAACATATGGTCATTAGCTGTGTGGCACACAAATTGTGACGAGCTAAACCGAAAAGTTTGAATTCTCTCCATTCTACCCCTTTATTAAATAAGTATATACGGATTGTTATTATTATTAATTTTTTACCACCATTTGCAATGGTGCATAATGGGTGCAAGCTGCCCGAGTGTGGTTGGCAGTTCAAGATACCAGTTGCATGGATTTTTCCTTAATCCAAGTACCACCGCTAGTTCCCAGGCCATCTCGGTCAACAGCTTGCACCTAACCATCCAAATTGGTAAAGGCCCTGTCACACTATTGCGTATCGTACTAGCGTATGCCAGCGTATGAAAAATATCACTCATACGCCGGTATACGCTGACATACGCTAGGGGTACGTTATAGGCATAGCTTGTATACGTTTCAAGCACGGTCGCATACGGTGGCATACGGCGAGGCAGAAAATATTTTTTAAGCATGTTCAAAAATTTTGTGCGGATCGGACGTATGCTTTATACGATAAGCCAGGGCGCTATAAAACACGGGCGGTGAAACGGAGATAGCGCCCCTGATCTTTGTGTGATGCGCGTACCCCCCGTATACATTAATTTATATAAATGTCAATAAAAATGGAATTGGAATGTTTATGCAAAAAAGAGCTGAAAAAACTAAAGTAAAAAATGTTTTCTGCATTCCTAAACAACTTGATGGTTT